GAGTGGAGACATGCAGATGTCGCCGTATGCAGATTTTCCCAAAAACAACCGGATATCCATGGAGTGGGGCAGGGAGACCATAGAGATGCAGGAAAATGGCAGCACCAAAAACCTGCTGCAGATGACGGACATTTACTATTCTGTAAGCAGACTGATATTTTCCTGTCTCCTTTGATGGCCTATTTTTTCTTCCAGTGTAACGTTTTTATTATTTTCAGTTTGTTCGTTGTTTGGATAGTAGGAATCCAGAACAAGCGATGGACGGATTCCCAAAGGTGTGCTTTTCACTACCTGATACGTCCCAGTAGCACAATCCTTACAATCAGATCATTTGCACAACCAGATATATATACGGGTCACCCCCAATTTTATTTTGTAAAAAAATACCTAAATTACATTTTTCCCTCCCCAAAAACAGTAAGTATACAAAAATCTGCTGTGTTAAACGTTAACAATGTATTTCCTGAGAAATGAAATGCCTTAAAATCCTTTCTGTTTTATCAGTCGTCTCTTCCCAATCTGCACTGGAAATGGGATCTTATGCTACTTCCGGGTGCTAACTTTTTCGGCTTTGGATTTAAACATATATCTAGGCTTTTTGAGTTTTATGTTTTCCTTTCGTGTTACCACTATGGTATATAGTGGGTGATCTAAAGAAAGAAATCACTGAAATGCAGATAAACATTATTTAATCATATTTTGCCAGACTACTCTGAGCATGTCAGATGATTGTATCAGAGAAGCAGTTTAATGGATAAAATGTGAAGAGCATTAAATTGTTTTAGAAAAGTCATAAAACTTTTTTTTTTTTTTTATATATGTGTATTTGCATTCTTTAGTGAGTTAAGATTAGAAATAAGTGCTTTTAGTACCAAAATTACATTATTTATGGCGACCTGGATGAATCTGCTTGCACAGGCGTTAATGAGCTGATGGTATGGGTCGTGCTTCCGGGACAGATCGGGTTGTGCTCTGCCTTAGCCCAACTTAGAGCTCATTACATTCAGGTGACGATCTGGATTTAGAAGTTATTCAGAGAATTCCTTAACATTTTGAGACAGGACAGGGCTTTTCAAAATATAACGCATGCCTTTCATAGGCGGCGCCATAGCACCAGAATACAAACAGACATTTAGCCATTTTAGGCAAACCTAAGGCTCTCTAAAAAAGCCCTATAGGTAGCCTTATTGGTAGGCCTTCTCATCCCGTTTACATTCTGTTTGTAGTAATGTTTTATTTTTGCAGGATTGGTTTGTTTGTGGATTGTTTAGCAAGATTACAGAAAAAGCTGTGGATGAATGCGCTGAAATATTTCCTATGCCTGCTTTAGCTCAACCTAGAACCCATGGAATTAAATTATGATCCAGCTCATTACCTTGATTTATCTTCTAAAAGTTTCTTTAATGTTGTGAGATTGGGAAATTAGCTGCTAGGTGGAGGTCTGCACTCTGTAATGTTTGGACCTTTGTCAAAAACTAATAGATACAGTCCAAACAGAACTAATTTTACAGAAATTAAACCTGAGGAAGAATAAAAAAAAAACGTCTGTTAATCAGGCAAAAATCTCTACAAATAGGCTTTTTTTGCCTATAAGATCGCTATAATGCAGCTGGATGAATTTTATAAATCATACTAATTTCTTAAAAAGTTGGTCAAAATCAACCGGCAGACTGGGTTTTTTTTATAGCATCTCTAAGGAAAGATGTGGGATGTGTTGAGTTTAGCAAAAACATTTTTACAGTTCTTTGGTTTAACCCTTTAAAGGGCAAGTTACCCTTTTTGATCCCCTTTCAAATGGAGTCCCCGTCCCTCGGTGAAGTCTAGAGGCACAAGATCTATATCCAGCCTTTCGGCAAAGATACGGCTACATGGCTGTACATCTTATTTTGCAATTTGACCAATTAGATGAGCCCTTGAATGATATATTACCTTCTGGAAATTAAGTTGGAAAAAAACAAAGTCAAGAACAAAAGGTAAAAAGCTAAATGAAAAGTTTAAAAGTAAAGTTAAAAAGTTAATAAGCCTTGTTAAAAATTATATTTACGTTTATAAGCTAAAAAATGTAAGTGCCAGTATCAGCATTAATGCCTCTAAGGTTATGTTGTACCAAAAAAAAGTGTTTTTCATGAATTTCTTGTATAAGCACTTTTGTAATTTTTCTTAACATATTCAGGCAGTTTGTGTTTCTTGTTATTACATTGACATTCATTTTTGGCATCAAAATATCCAAATTCTTTTAATGTTACCATGGTAATGTTTTTTTTTCCTGGATTCCAATTACACTATTTGCTTGAAATGTTGATTTTCAAAGAATTTCACTCAGTGCCCGTGAAAGAGTTAATACAGAAAAGCTGCTGCATTTAACACCTGTTTTATCCTTTAAACATGGGAGAGAAAGCACCATGATTTGGGATTCCTTTGCTTCCTTAAGGCCTGAACTCCTTGCTGTTTTTTACAGGAACACCTGGTTCGACACTTCTGTGTTTTTAATGATTATTGATAAAGTTAAAAACCTTCATTTTCTGTAGCAGCTGATTAATTAAAAATATTTTTCTATGTCATTTCCTCACAGCCTGCTTTGCGTAACGCTGACCTGGAGCGAAATGGCCTCTATCCATTCACGGGTATGCCGGGATCACGCCACTCATGCATTTACCCCGCCCAGTGGAACCCGTCGTTTATAAGTGATGACTCCCGGAGAAGAGACTACTTTTGAGAGCATTTCTCTGGACCCACCGACTTCCTCTGATTCTTACTGTCGTGCTGCATTCTGATAGTTTTTTTTGTCCCCGTCTGATGGTTATAAGGGAGTCAATTAGGCCATCTTGAATCAGGGCTGAACACACAAACCTGTAAAAGTCTGTTTGTTGCTGCATTTTAATGTAACTTCAAGTTAAATCTGTTTCCTGTTACCATTTCAGTATTTTTACATGTTGAATCATCCCCCCGCTCCCTACAGGCCTCACATTGGAGAATGTTTTCTCTATTTCAATTACACAGTAATTGTTCCATTACGTTTATTGTCCTAATGTGATCTCAGTTATTGCTGTCTTGATTTTTTTTACGCATTTTAACCAGAGACAATATTCACCTAGTGCCTTTCAGGAATTAACAAAAAAAATGAAACATAATGCAGCAAACTGTCCAACAATATTTAAAAACATTAGTAGCACAGCACTTGAAGTCCTGATGCATGGGTTCACACCACTGCTGTAAAAATAATCTGTTTTGATAAGACTTTGAAAAAGGAATATTTTTCGAGCTTAACAAGAAAATACAGAATTTCAAAGTGTGGATTAATGCAGACAGTGACCAAATAATGAGTCTCTAACCTGATGCTAGCTGTTATTTATGCACAGTTGTCCATGTGTAACATAACGGACGTTCACACTGACTGACTTTAAAGGGATAAACCTGTGGCTTAAAGTGTGTGAGAGAGGTGGTTTGTATGTGCACAAAGACTGTGTGTTTGTATGGTGTGTGTGTCTGTGCAAAATAATAACTACCAGTTATAACTCTCCATACGTGTTTGAATGTAAGGATGTATAATAATTAGCCGTTGCTGTTATGGATTATTATTTTTATGAGTGTTTGTCCTTTTATGTGTTTATATGATGTGTTTATTCTGCCGTTTTAGTCAGAAGTTTCTATTTAAATAAAAATACTTTAAAGATTTTTGTGTTCATTTCTGATTTAATAAAAAAAAAAACACTTGAAAAGGATTTTACTCTAGGGCTAAATGTAAATAACTATATATGCATGTATATTTCTGCATAAGGATCATTGTCCAAAAGGTTGACCCTCCAGTCCATCACAGAATAAATACACTTACATTCCTTAGGGTAATTTAGAGACTAATTAAGCTAGCGTTTGAACCGTGGAAGGAAACAGGAGAACCACAGAGAAACTATACACACCCAGGAAGAACATTTAAAAATACTCCTTTCAGATATTAACCATGGACCTTTATGCCGTAATGAAGCCAAAAGCTTGAAGCTTTTTCCCCTCAGTAATACAGTAGATGGGGGGGGGGGGGAGCAACTAATTGGATCCTCTCTGTTGGGTTCAGCTATTTAAAAAAAAAAAAAAACCAATGTAGGTATTACATTTCCACAAAAAAAAATTATAAAGAAGATTAGGAGAAATGTAAATACTGAAGCAGGAGAAGCCACTCCCCTAAACATCCAGAAACAAACCGTGCACATTTGCAAAATAACCTCAGTACAATTAGAAATATTGAATATCCTTACATATGAGAACCTTTAACTTTCTGATATTTACTGCAACTTATTCATGATTTCCTTTATCTTAAACTGAATTTAGGCTCCTACAGCAGCAGTACTAATAACTGCTTTAGAATGCTTGTAACACAAAAAGTGAAATCTACTTTCATTGGTGCGATAACCTTTGGCAATGACCCATATTTTTTTTTTTTTATTCAAGACCTTTAGAACATGGCTGCAGAAGACACAATTGCATCAATGAAGTGATTATTTATTAAGAACAATAATGGTAATTTGCCAATAAATAGTTGCTCATGCATCCTCAGAGTAACTGCAAAAATTTAATACACAAACAAAAGCCAGAAAAATGCTTTAAAATAACTAAGCATCCTTGTTGCTTCCATTTGAACTTGACGGATCATCATCAGTATGCGCACCTCTATACATCAGCTGCCATCAGCAGTGTCCTTAGAGAAGCAGGTGGGTTCATCAATCTATGAAAGCTTATAAGATCATTTCCAAACTGTCTGAAGTGCATCATTCTGCAGAGACCGCAGCCACTCAGATTTAATTCAGTTCAGTTTATTTATATATAGTAGGGCCAATCCATAACACACATCATCTTTACAGAGACAGTTCAATCAGATCATACCGTCAGGTCGGTTTAAAGTTTTCTATCAAAGAAAAAAATAGCTGCTTTAACCCAAGGTCGGAGCGTGAAGTTAAGCAAAATGACTCAAAGCTCTAGAGACAAGTAGTCGGTTAAAGGAGTATGGAAAAAAGGGGATATGTGAAACAAATGTGACAGAAAGATAGTAGAGAGCTGAAAGAGGGAGACCAATTAAGAAAGAGATCAGAAATACACAGAAAGACTAAAAAATCTGATGGTGAACACACAATAATATGTAACTAATAGAAAAAAGGAAAAACTAAAAGGGCAACAACTAGAGAACACAAAAGGAAAAAAAAGAAGAGAGACACAAATTAACAGCACAATCAGAAAAGGCTGTACTACAATGATTATTTTAAAGCGTTACTAGAGAAACAGAGAACATCTCTTCTCTCTGCAAGCATTTTGGTAGCAGGACTTAGGTTTAAAAGCTGCATCTGAATTAAGATTAATGTCTTATCAACAAATGAAACCAAAGTAGAGATGTTTTTCCTCTGAAGGGTTCTGATTTATTCTACAAAAAGAATGATTTTTGAAGTCTTATCAAACTCCAAACCTACTAAACTTAAGCAAAATGAAGATCAGATTTTGTATTTTCTTCAAATTAACTTCTGACTGGAGAAGGAAATAAACAACATAGGATATAACTTCTTCTTAGGCCTTTTCTACTTCACCTTTTAGGCGATATAAGCAGCAAAACTCAATGAGCAAATCTTCACCATTTCTTAAACTTAATAATTTACACTGAAGCCAAACTGTTCTGTGAGTAACAGTAAAAGTCACCCAAGTTTAACCGGTTGCATTGGTGCCATAATTTGAAAACCATGGTTCTGGAATTTTGCCTTCTCCCTGCAAGTACATGTGTGAGACAGCAGGGGTCGCAGTTTCCCTATTTATAGAACCCAAACCAGACCCAAGGGGCGGTTTTTCTGAGAATTTCCTGTGTTTATGTGCTCTGGTTCTGGAGTTTGGTTTCTTGAAGGAATCATTGAAAGCTGCATCTTCAGAGCATTTTTTCTGCATTAAAACTCGATAAAACTTCATCAGTGCAGAAGCAAGCAGCAGGGATGGCTTTGGAACTTTATCTGGACCTTTTTTCTCAGCCCTGTCGCTCTGTTTATATGTTTGCAAAGAAGAACAACATTCCCTTTGAGTTCAAGAAGGTTTCTCTGATGCATGGTGAGTTTACCCTCAGGAACACTGGAAAATGCATATTTTAAGGGAGGGTAGATGCTGGGATGGCTGTTTATCAAAGTTCTGTCTGTGGAGGGTTGCTGGTTCAAACTCACCCTGGTTTTCAATAAAAGACAAATATACCATTTGTTGAGACTTGTTTATGTTAAACTGGTTAAACTGGGAAAAAAATTGAAAATGTGGGGAAACTCAGAAAATCATGAGCAGCACCAAAGCATTATTGTTGTAGATTACCTTCTCTTTAGGGTTAACACATATTTATATTGGGCTGTAAGGAGTACCCTTATTATTAATGGACTTATTATTATAGAGTCTGATTTTCTCTCATACAGATAGTTATTGATTAGATTTATTTTAGTTTGAACTTTAGTCCTAAAATATATATTTTTCTTGTTCATATTGTTGTTGTCTTGTTTCATTTCATTGAAATGTACAGAAAATTGGTTAACATGGGTTGTTAAAAAATATTTAAAACTTTTGCTAACCTCTGTCAGCTTGAGCAGATGAAGAGTGAATCATTCTTTAAATGAAGCAGCTTCCTGCTGAACTGAGATGTCTCTGTGTTGGTTTTAGGAGAGCATTTTGGGGATCAGTTTGGAAAAATCAACATGATCAGAAAAGTTCCAGCACTTCGTGATGGAGACTTCTGTCTGGCTGAAAGGTGATCATTAAATAATTTTAAAAAACTGCTTAATAACCTATGCACCTAATGTAGACCTATTGATCCACTTGCTTCCCTCTAGCATCCCCATCATGATTTATCTGGCTGAGAAGTTCCAGACTCCAGACTTCTGGTACCCCACCGATATCCACCACCGTGCTCGAATCAATGAGTACCTGTCCTGGCAGCACACCGCCATCCGGATGTATGGATCCAAGATGTTCTGGCTCAGGGTATGTTGACCAACACGGCCCAAAGCCTTCCTGTTAACTGGGTCTATCCAAAATAAATACAACACTGATGGCTCTTGGTGCAGCAGTAGCTTTAAATCAATCAGTATATATAAAGTTCATATATATCAGGAATTCTTTAATGTCAGACATTTCTAATGCATTTTTAATATAAGACACAAACATTTTATAAAAGTGCTGTGCAATTTTACTAGCAGGTCATTAATATATTACTAATTACAACTGGACATTATAGCCAATTAATATGTCATTCTAATCAAGGGTAAAACCAACAAATTCTCTTTGATTAAAGGATTATAACTCACAGTTTGCTTAATTAACAGGTGTTATTAACAGCTTACCTTTGTGGCTGGACGTTTTGGACCAGCTGTTAAAATCCGAGATGTCTTCATTAATGGTAAATGTCAATAAATCGGTTTATTGATCATTAACCACAAGGAAAATATTTATCTCTTTCTAATAAAGTTGTTACTCACAGGAAGTACGCTCTGCTGCTTTTAATCAACCGGTCACTGCTGAATAAATAACCACAGACTAACACATTAAAACAGAAGGGCTGCTTTGTTTATTGAACCTAATAATCCCTATTACAGTATTATTATGTTCAATAAACTATGCAAACAATACAAACTACTAAAATTAAACACTGAATAAATAAAAGAAACAGTAAACATAAGGGAATTCAAATAAGTTCTTAAGGTAGAGTCTGATAATGTTCAGCTCATTAGCTCAGATGCTGTGATGCACTGAGATGTCCATCAGATTAGCTGTAGCGATATAAATAACAAACAGATGTGTGAAGCTCAGAGTTCAGGAAGGCAGGCAGCGACTTAGCAGCCTTTCAGCTGGAACCACTCACAGCACAGAGGGTCACACCGGACACAGGAGGCCCACCCAGGACATACAGTAAAACCAGTTCTTATCTTGTTGGATTGACAGACGGATATTTCAACAAAACAAGGCTGTCCTAAATTTTTAGCTCAGATCTCTTTGAAAGACTTATTTAGTTCATTTTTCCAGCAAAAATGAACTACGATTCAGAAGATTGCACCATGTGTAATGTGATGTCCAGATGGATGTTCAGGTCTCTCTGTTGCATCCAGACCAGGGTCCAGTGTATGGCGAGTGTTGGCCTAGTGGTTAGAACAGTGTAACTTTGGGTCCCTGAGCAAGGACCTTAACCCCACACTGCTCCCTGGGCACTGCCAGGCTTGGACTGGTAATCTGTGATACCGTGGGCAGCTACTAATTTCAGCCGGCCCTCCTTAAATCATACCCTCTCCAGCCGAGAGACAGATGTAGATGGAAAAATGCCAGGGCCGGAAATCGTTCCCAGTCCGAGTTTGGTGGCCGCCCACTGCTCCCCAAGGGGATGGGTTAAATGCAGAGGGTGTGAATGTCATTGCTCTGTACTTGTGATATTGTAATGACAATAAGATAAGATAATCCTTTATTTGTCCCACAGTGGG